AACCGGGAAGTTATTTTCGGGACGGAGGGAGTAAGTTTTTCCTTATTTAGCTACACGAGTCTTAAAATGAAAATGAATTCTTAAGAAATACTACTTTCATCCTTCAAAACTTCACCAAATTTGTCTGGCACGGGAAATAATTAAGTAAGAAATGTATGATTGAAATTTGTGCAGAGGTGAGAGAAACCACTATTAATTTTTTAGTGTAAGGGACATGAGTATAATATTATGTTGAGCATATATACACTAGTTATTCATTTATGTAATACGTGAGTATACTATGTGTATTAATGTTAGAATATTAAAAAGGTTTTACTTATCAAATAGGATCTTTCAAATATAGTTAGAACCTAAACTAAGTGTACCTCGTTATTTTTTTCTACTATTTATTTGTTCCATGAAAACAAAAAACTAAACTAAATTGATATAGTTTAGTTTAGTTTAGTTTGTCTTCTTCTTTTTGAAAAGTTTAGTTTGTCTTCTTAAGCCGTTGCAATTTGTATGAATATTACTATGCATATAAAATTGTAAATTTAATTTCGCAAGCTAAAGTTAAGGGGGTTAAATGTGCATCTAACAAAAGTATAAATATTCGGAAAAATATTACTCCTTCCGTTCCATTTTAAAGTTTCAACTTTCCTTTTGGACGTCACATATAAAGGTTCTCATTTCTATTTTAGAAACAATTAATACGCTTACATAACAACTTAATCATCAAATATTATAATTAATACATCTATAACATCAAAGTTATTATCAATGGCCTCATTATATTATATATTCATCAAAATTATTTCTCAAAATATACTTGAATTAATTATTTAATTATTGTCTAAATAATTTGCAATGAGAACCTTTAAACGGGGCGGATGTAATATATACATACAAATGTGCATGAATAATAACTTGTTTCAAGGTATATACTAATCCTTCCGGTTGAAAGGTTCTTACTTTCTTTATTTGGGTGTCCCATTGAAAGTTTTTCATTCCATTTTAGAAAATAATTTACTCTCTTAATTACACATTTACTCAATTTTTTATTTCCTACTCATTACATATCGAGTCTCACAATTTCCTCTCCCCCAACTTATCTCCCTTTAATTACTTTCACTTTATATGTTTACTTTTCCTAAATTTTCTCTTTCCTTTCTTTTTACCCAAATTACTTTATTTAACCATTTGCCTGAAAAACTGTGTCATTTATCCACGGAAATCTTTCAAAAGAACATAAAGAGTAGATATATAAAGAGATATATAAACAGAACATAAATAATATATGCTCCGTAGTAATGTAGGGTTAGGAACAAGTCGACTAACTACTTGGAGTAGATATAACATATAGTCCGTATCATATATATTGTAAACTACTACTGCAAATTGCAAAACTACAAAAAGACAAATTACCAACTTCTCTTGTTAATTTTTTATTACTTAATTACGGAGTAATAAATTTGCAACTCTTAACCATCAAGGTTAAAACTTAAAACATACCTAAGGCCATGTCGCAAACATCCGAAGCTTGAGGCGGAATCTAGACAGCCAAAAATGTGAAATGCATGTAATGTTTTGAAAAACACGTCTAGCAAAATTTACATTCAAATTACCATATTTTTAGATTTAGGATGTTTTTACTTGGACTGTAATTTATCCCAGACCAGACTAGTCCAGACCAGACCAGTTCAGACCATACCAGACCAGACCAGACTTGGATAGTTATTATAAAAATACAAAGAAACCAGACCAGACCAGTTCAGACCAGACCAGACCAGACCATACCAGACCAGCAAATTACAGTCCAAGTAAAAACATCCTTAATGAAACTTAAGTATAAACACTTCAAATACATTACTATCAATACTTAGGTGCTGTTCTGTTCGTCTTATTCTTATTACTTATTGCTTATTCTTATTTTATTCAGATCAGATCAGATCAGATCAGAAAAATTCAGATCAGATCAGATCAGATCAGAAAAATTCAGATCAGATCAGATCAGATCAGAAAGATTCAGATCAGATCAGATCAGATCAGAAGCATTCAGATCAGATCAGAAACATTCAGATCAGATCAGACCAGATCAGAAGCATTCAGATCAGATCAGAAACATTCAGATCAGATCAGATCAGATCAGAAAAGTTCAAACATGATTTTTCACTTTTATTATTATATTAAATATTAATTATTATTATTATTATTATTATTATTATTATTATTATTATTGTTATTACTATAATGATTATTATTATATAATTATTATTAATAATATTAATAATAATATGATAAAAAAAGATATTAATAATAGTTATAATTTTTTAATATAATAATAGTAATATAAATGCAATTGTTAAGAAGACTATTATTATGACAACATTATAATAATAATAATATGATTAATATTATTATAATTATATGTAATTATAATTATAATTACAATTATAATTCTTATAATTATAAGTATAATCAATTGTAATTATTATAATTATATCTATAATTAAATATATTTATAATTGTAATTAATTATAATTATAATTACAATCATAATTATAATTATGATTATAATTATAAATATAATATAATATTATAATAATATAATACTAATTATAATAATAATCATATTATTATTATATTATTGTAATAATAATATTAATATAATAATATCGTTATAATAATATTAATTGTATTTATATTACTATTATTATATTATAATATTATAATTAATGTTAATATAATTATAATTATTATTAATTATAATTATAATAATTATAATTATACTTATAATTATATTATAATAATAATTTATGATTATAATTATTATTTTTATTATAATTAATATTAATATTATTATTATTATTACCATTGTAATTATTTTATGGAGTAATTATAATAATATTGATAACTATAGTTACAATTATAGAGATAAATATTGTAATTATAATTACAATTATAATTATAATTTTATTTAAATTATATTTGTAATTGCAATTATAATAATAATTATAATTATAATTATAATTATAATCATAGAAATATTCGAATCAGATCAGATCAGAAAGATTCAGATCAGATCAGAAGGATTCAGATCAGATCAGAAACATTCAGATCAGATCAGACCAGATCAGAAACATTCAGATCAGATCAGAAAGATTCAGATCAGATCAGATCAGATCAGAAAGATTCAGATCAGATCAGATCAGATCAGAAAGATTCAGATCAGATCAGATCAGATCAGAAAAATTCAGATCAGATCAGATCAGAACTTAAAAAATTCAGATCAGAAACATTCAGATCAGGCGAAGAGAACAGCTTCTTAGTTCGGTATTTCTCATTTTGACTATCATGCTCTGATCTTCCATAACCGTTATCTGTCTCTCCTTCGTACACACTGATGAAGTAGTTTTTATGTTATATTAGTAACATTTAGAAAATGGTAAAAAGTTTGAGTAGTTTTATTTATAAATAAATGTTATTCTTTGCACAAATCATAAAATTTGTCACTTTATTAGTTTTTGCTTCTTTAAGCTCCGGGGGTTATCAAATAGGGGAGGAATTACTTCGTCGGAAGGAATTGGAATAGTAGAGGAATCGAGAGTGTTTGGTTGGAACTTGGAAGCTAGAGTTAAGGTAAATCTAGAGTTAGTAAATGTTGAGACTTTGAGTGAAGTAAATAAAGAGCTACAGACACCTCCAAACTTATCCGATCTCAATATCACACATACTCTTTCCAAGTACATATAATGAATGTAGTACAATGTAGTATAGTGATCTCTATCATATATACCTCACATTGAGAAATTTGAGATGAATAATATTTCAAAAAAGAAAGAAATCCACTTGACCACTTCTTGTTGGATATTTACAGATAGGTTAAATATAACGAGAATACATTTATAAATGTATATCCTTATTTATTAAAGAAAGATTAGCCTCATTTAAATATGAATAATCACAAACTTTCATGAATACATTTGGCTCTTTTTCTGAACCATTGTGTACATTGGATAGGGTAAGGGCGGCGAGGGGGGCAAGTTAGAGGTTACCGGTTACCCGCTACCCTACCCAATTTGGATGGGTGAGGCCGTAAGGGAGCTGAGGGGGGCAGATTACCGGTTACCCGCTAGGGATGGACTCGGGCCGGGCCAACCGACCCGGAACCGGACCGGCCCGCTACTGTGCGGGCCCGGACCGGCCCGGTCAACCGGTTCGGTTCCGGTTCGGGCCTCCAGGCCCGGTGGTATACCGGTCCGGGCCCGGGCCTCCAGTTTAGTGAACCGGCCCGGCCCGGCCGGGCCCGGTTCGGGCCGGAATTTAATTTTTTTTTTTTTTTTTTTTGAAATTTTTTTAAGTTTTGGGTTGGATTAGGTATTTTGGGCCATTTGAGGTGGTTTGGGGTGGTTTGGGGTGGAGGGGGAGGGGTAGGGGGTTAAATAAGAGAAGAAGAAGAAAAAAAAAAAAAAACATTCCGGGTGGCCCGGCCCGGCCCGGCCCGGTTCTGGCCCGGAACCGGAACCGGAACCGCCCACCACCGGTTCGGGCCCGGGCCTCCTTTTTCTGAACCGAGGCCCGGCCGGGCCCAGGCCCGAACCGGGCCCGAACCGGAACCGGTCCACCCCTATTACCCGCTACCTGCCCAATTTGGATTGCCAGGGGCAGCAACAGCAAAGAAGAGATAAAATTGGAGTAGTCATTTTGTTTTAATCTTTCCCAAAATAGATTCTTATCTCACTCTGCACCAAATTTTAAACATTTGTAGACACGGTTAACTCTTGCACAACAATGTGAATCAAATCAAAATGGAGGTGATGCTTTATTTTACATTTCTTAACCTTTGGAGAACAGTCCCATACTATAATTATCATTTCTTTAGGCCTCCAAAGTCCAAAACCATATTTATTTGACTGCGGCACGATTGATTACATTCTTGCCCCCCCCCCCCCCCCATGTAGGACAGAAGCGCACACACTATTATGGCCAGATTAACAAATACAGGTATAAATCCTCATGTTCTTGTAAATCCATGAGATGTCAATGAGACTGACAAAACTGGTTTCACGATTTGATAATAGGCATGTCGATTCTTAAAGAGTGCTAATTCTAATACAATGGTAGATGTAAACTAAAGCACTAATGAACCATTACTCGGGGTATACAAAACAATGAATTCATCTGCGAATACTAAAATTTAGGCACATTAATAATGATAATGATAACAATAATAACAACAACAACAATAACAGTAATAACAAAAACAATATCATCATTAATAACAAGGAAAATGATAGATGGACTACCAAAGCGTTGTACTCCTCTGTCCTGATGGATATGAGCTAGGAGCAGACAGTTTCAGTTACAGCCCAAAAACGGAACGAGAAACTAGCTGCTTGATGCTCTAGAATCAGAGCCAGTAATTGGGCTTTTTCCGGTCCAGTGCCATGGCTATACCTTCTCCTAAACATTTCCAGAATTGTCAGGCAGGTTCAGGCTCTTTAGGAGACAGGAACCAGTTTAAGTCCATCCTTAATGTGAGCTGTGAACTTATGAAGTAGGTGCAACATGGTAGTTCATCTATCATTTGTTTACCTAATAATAATAAGGCTGGGAGTATGCACTCAATGCAGCAAGCAGTGGGAAAGCGGGAAAGTATATACATAATTTGCTTCGTTTTCCCATCACATCAGACCAAAATATATATCTCATACATGTGAAGCAGATCAACAGGTTTAGCCGAAATTCCATCTGAAAAAATGCAGAAAAGTACATTATATCAAAATCAATTGCTAATAAGCTAATTTGAGATTCACAGGTTAATTTTTAACATTACCTAATACAGCAAAGCATACATCAAATGAGCTGTACAAGAGCAGCGACTCGTAGTGACCCATTTTGTAGAAGATCCGGAAGTTCATTAAAGAACAAAGCTGAACGCCAACCCCACCCCTTTGGAGCTTTAGGGAGAAGAGTCCCCGTCTCCTTGAAGCTCCCAAACACCGTAACTTCTCTTTTGCATGGGCATATCAACTAAAACACTGTCCACTCTTAGTATTCTTTCTTGCAGAAATATACATAAAGGGATCGATAATGGGCCAGCTGCCCAAAAAGAAACCCTGAGCTTATCAACAGAAAGACCCTGATTGATCCTAAACTCTCTATAAGGTGTTCTATTTATTCAGCGCACCATCAACTAAAAAATGACCTTGTACTTCATAAGTACTCCTTATTGACTTTGGACAAAAAGTGATTGCGGGCACCGGCATATCAAACACAAACACAACTAGGCACTTGAATATAACTGTATGCAATGGTTAAAAAAAGAACATAATAAATTTAAAGTTTTGATATGTTTAAGGCTATAAAAAACTGGTTTTATAATACTTCGTATGTTTTTTATTGTGGTAACAACTAACATGTCTTACCATCATAATCATCATCATTATCATTACCTCAATGCCGCAAAGGCTCCCACCTACGGTAGGGTAAGGGGGGTCGGATGCACGCAGTCTTACCCCTGTACAAAAGCACAAAGAGACTCTTTCCGAATGACCCATAGTGAAAATCACATCCAAAATTACATGGACTGACCGTTGCTTCATAACAAAGAAGCACAGACAGTTTAGTGAGCCATTTTGCTTTATTCCATCATATTCTCAAGCCAAAAAATAGTGAATCTTTGGCTCCGTTGCAAATGATGGAATGGTAACATGTCTTACCATAGCATATAATTCATGTATGATGTACCTAATCTCATTTGTGTTTGAGGCGCCTGCATACTATTTAACATTGACATTTTTTAAGAACACGGTTATTAGAGTTACTGCACTTAATTTAGGTGCCAAGTAAGACACTTAGTAAAGCTAAGTATCAATCAGAGTTTTTTGTTGAAAGTTAACCACATTTTTTGATACCTGTCTAGTAATTGTTAATACGGTGACTCACCTGATACCTAGCAGTGACCTTTTCACGAGAATCAACATACACATGCACCTGGAATAGGTAAATGGAAACATAAAAAATATTTATACTTCGAAAACATTGCTTCACAATTCAGGGGTTTATTGGTACCAATAGCTAGTTTCTTATCAAATTGATATCTATTCTTTAATTTGTATTTTTTTCATACGGATACTTTTTGAGGAATGTGATAGCAATTCTTTAATATGGAAACCTTTTATATAGTGTCAACCATGTAGATTTTGTATATAATTAATATGGTAGCAATATAAAGTGTATCTTCATTTAGTGGATTTTATATTCTAATGAAAATAATGATTTTTTATTGTATCTAATATGAACTATTCACACCCCCACAACACATGTATATACAGATACAGGTAATACAGGCGTACATACATAACATATATACACACATGTGTATGCAAGTGTCTATGTATATACACATGTATATGTGTGTAATACTGTAATCATATATGCTATCGTATATGGGGTATTCTTATGGAAAGGTGTATGAAAATTTCAAAAAATATCTAGATATTTTGAAATTTTGTTTTTTCAAACCACAAATGTAGCTAAATTTATCGATTAATATGTTTGTTATCCTTGAATAATCGGAAATAAATACAGTTAACACCCCTATAAGTCACTGGCGTTAATCTATACAAATATTGATTGAAATATTTCAATCTTTATGTATGTTTCGTATATTTCAAGCACAACTCAAAAACAGAACTAAATTTTACATACTGCCAAATAATGCTCGAAATATCCATAAATATCAAGATATACCTGTCAATATTTCTATGAATTTACCGTACTCACACACATATGGGTTAACGATATTCCTTTAAATATATCCAGTATAAAACCAAGAAATATTGCTTCTAAATATTTGTTGCTGTATTTCTAGTTTGAAAAACAATATGTCAAGACAACTGGATATTCTTGAAATTTTCCAAATACATTTTCATAAACATATCCTAGCAATATTCATACAAAACTAATTACTTTATACGACATCTAAAGTATTGGTACAAAGCGGATAAAAAAACTCAGAATACAATGGCCTTAAATGTTACAATCATGCACGAAAAAAACATCACCTTTCTAGGCAGGTCAGTTATCTCTGCCTTACGTCGATGAAGAAAAAGCCCTGCGAAATGGCAAACACTTTAAGCAGATACTCACATGGCTTTTCAATTCACAGTTTCACACAATGACTCAAAAAAATTATTACCAAGTGTACGGCGTCCTTGCAGGTCTTCGTCACTAAAAGCCTGGACGGTGACCTACAAAATTAAAGCCAAAGAAATGTTGAGTTTATTCCTACATATACCGTTCATACCAGTAATATTTACTCTTTTTTAATACCACCACCAAATTACATTGTACAAAAAAATCACTTCAACTACTTTTGAGTATTTTCAATAATTTTTTTCTCCCTCCTCAACTAAAGTCTGCCATTATTTTTACTGTCACTCTCCTGGTCTTCCCCCGATTAAACCCAATCCTTCATCTCGTTTTTAACACCCTCCATTGTTATTCAATTGAGCATTTAATGAAGTATGAAAGGAGAGCATAAAACGGGGGAGCATATAAAATAAATCTAATGGCAGACTTCAAACGTTAACATGGGCCAACCTTGTTTTAGGGCCCATTTACGGTTTACCTATGTTGTATGTAGGTTAGCCCTCTTATTATATAAGGAGGGCTGACATGCGCAAAACCTAAGAATATATACCTTCCACAAAGAACCAGCATAGAAAAACTCGGGTGAATGTTTGACTTGACCATCATTGAGCCTGAGAACGTCTTGAAACTCAACCCTGTGCAAGCATTTCAAGAAATTCAGAAAACACTGAAAATAACTTCAATCTAAAAAGGATGAATAGTGAATACTGATCTCCTAAAATGATAGGGACCCGGGCACTACAAATAATTAGAGTCTTATTAAGTATTTTAATGTTTTTCAATAATTGGGTTCAAGGCCCAATAACTTAAGTGAGGGCTGGCCCTTTTAGTGAGTTGTATTATAAAAGGGGGGTAAGGGAAAGAATAACGGAGGCAGAACTTGGGATCTGGGATCGGAACTGGGAGTGAGAGACCACTCGAAGAGTCTCAAACCCTTTTCTTTCATAACTTTCTGTATTCCATCACTTAAATTTAATTAATATCCTACAATTATCTACTTGGATTCTTCCGTTACCTATCATTGGTATCAGAGCGTCGATCATTGCACCTGTGTATGGTACTCACTCGATTGAACATGGAGCAACGGATGGACAGTTTGGAGCGATCATTCGAACGATCAAAGGAAGAGATGCGAACAGAGATGCGAGCCTTGCTTGACGAGAAAGTGCAGTTGTTGCTGGAGAAGATGCAAAGTCTCGAAGCTAAGGGCAGTCGCAGCAGGAGAAGGGGACGATCGAGGAACCCTAGACATCGTCGGAAGTCTGAGAACCATGTCTCATCATCGTTGCCAACTTCATCGCAAGCAAAAGAACCCCGTTTGCAGGCTTCTTCACTCATCGATGCTCACAGTTCCTCTTCGCGAACGGCCTCAACCTCCTCGCAGTTGTTGTCGCAAATCAATCCTCACCTAAGCCTGGACCAGGTTGACTCCGAAAAGGGATTGCCGGGAATTCCGCCTTCAAAATTAAACAAGGGGTTGAAGACCGCTGCACCGTCAGTCCAGGAGCTAAATCTGGAAGATGATATGCTCCCACCTGATAATCAGGAGCTTTTGAAATTCAAAGAGGGGAAAGCCGAGGAAATTATTTCAGATAAAGTGGAACCTGACAATTTGGAGTCTCGCGTTTTGTATATCCAGTCGACTGGAACTGCCAATAGCTCTGATTTTAAGTCTAATCATTCTGAAGATAGAGTTCGTAGACAAGGGAAAGAGAATGCTTTCAACATATACATTTTTTGTGCAGAGGATACCTCAACTGCAGTTAGTTGGCCAAATTTGAATAAAAGTTTGCATCCAGTTTCATCTGCGGTGAATGGAAAGTATGAGGCAGTTCAGGAAATACAGATTGCTATTGTTTCTTGCTTTGAAAGAACTGGTGGAAGTGAAGAGAAGCCATATGAGAGGAAAAATGGTGAGAGTCTTACACAGCCAACTGAAAATGAGAATGGCCGCTACAAGGAATCAAATAAGATGATGACTAAGGGTAATCAAGAACAGAATGAGAATTATGCATATCCATCATCGTCTTGGGCAAACAACCTTGAACAGGCGACTACCAACACCAACCATTGTGAAGGTCTAATTGCTGAAGCTCTCAATCCAAATAGGAAGGTTTTGCCACTTCATGTATCCGAGCTGAAGTATTGGGAAGGAAGGGGCGCGAGGCTGAAGTTGAATGGCATGGTTTTTTCTTACTCCCCACCTTGAGGACAAGGTGGAAGTTCAGGGGGGAGTGATGATAGGGACCCGGGCACTACAAATAATTAGAGTCTTATTAAGTATTTTAATGTTTTTCAATAATTGGGTTCAAGGCCCAATAACTTAAGTGAGGGCTGGCCCTTTTAGTGAGTTGTATTATAAAAGGGGGGTAAGGGAAAGAATAACGGAGGCAGAACTTGGGATCTGGGATCGGAACTGGGAGTGAGAGACCACTCGAAGAGTCTCAAACCCTTTTCTTTCATAACTTTCTGTATTCCATCACTTAAATTTAATTAATATCCTACAATTATCTACTTGGATTCTTCCGTTACCTATCATAAAAAGAGACATGTCCTATACAATGATAGATCTACTAAAATCCTGAGATGCAAACATTAACAATAACCAATCTTATAGCCAATCATAAAGGGTGTTTTAGGATTCTGGAAAATGCTAGGGAAGGGAAGCAAATGTGTAAAGGTAAGCTATTTGCTTGGCCATGGTTTTGCCATGGAAATGAAAATGGTTAACGTTTTGAAATTTTTTACATATGATATGTTTTCTTAACCTTGATATAATAAAAAAGGATAAAATGAGTTCGAACAAATACCCAAAATAAAGCTATTGAGTTTAGAAAAATGTTCTACTATCCTACTCCACACGTTATTCCTTTCGAAGTTTCCCCTCTATTTTACTCCATAATTTTCCCCTACCAACTTGTGATAAAAGACTAACCCAAGAGAATCAGATATTAATGCTTTAATCTCTAGTCTTAAAAAATCTCATATGCACTAAACATCCAATTGCTTCAAGCAGAGTTACAGAAGTCACAATACAATGAATACATCAAAGGACATAATCCCTTCATCCCGATTTTAATTTAGCGCACTAGACTTGAAATGGAGTTAAAGAAATTGAATGGTGGGGTTAAGAAAATGACACGATTCTTTACATAAAAGGAAATATGGAGACTATTTAGGATGTAGGCAGTATAACTTACCCAAACCAGGGAAAGAAGGAATTAAAGGGGGGCAGAGGTAGTATAACTTACCCAAACCGAAATGGAGGGAAATGACTTAAAGGTGTTTTCACATCCAAAGATATAGAGTTGTTGTCATTCTCCCACTCAATCCCAACAGATTCTAACATTTGTGTTGATATACTACTACTAACATTAGTTGCAGATACTGATGATCCTGCCATCCTGCTCTGAAGATCCACCTCACAACCTCTCTCTAACTGCACAGCAGTAGTTACCATATTGCTTCCCTCCTGGCTGAGACTTACCAAGGCAGTCAACCCATCCCCAGTCATGTCCGCGTTATGGTGGTCCCCTCTGTTTTCTGAATCATCATTACTCACCCCAAACGGGACCCGAGAGAAGACAAAACGTGTTGACGGACTAGCAGCAGGAGCAGCGGGAACAAATGTGTTTCCACGCCCGATTCCAACTAGCCCATCAAGGGGTCCCCTGACATGAATGCGCACAGGCCTAAAGAGACCAGTTCCTTCATTGGTGTACACATTTCCGGAATTTGTCGACAGATTTCCATGGTCATGATCTGCCATGTAATACCCACTAACATTGCATGAAGATCCAAATGGTTGCCTACATGCACAGGCCATACTCACAAGACAGCAATTTTTGCAAGTGTCCGCCTCGATTTCTTGCACTCGCTGGCTTAAGAGCATCTACAATATGTATGCATAAAGATCATTTACAAAGTACATAAATAAAAAAGATAAATAGAGACAAAATCCACCAGTAAAGCTATAGCGCAAGAAAAAGAATGATGGAAAGGCTATTCTAGAGAATAGATTTAGTGTTTGAAAGATAATTGGTGTAAAGTCAAAGTTTTTTAAAAATGGGGTGCAAAGTCCAATATCATCTAAAAACTAGGGTGCAAAGTCAAATTCCCCCATAATATAACTTTTGTATCATTATTATTCAGAGATAAATAGTGTTTGATTTGCATGATTATGAGTATGACACAATAAATTATTAAATTTACAATTTATATTTGTTATTTATCAAACAAAACCTCCAGTGGAAATTAAAAGCATATTTCATATGAACATTGTGCTGAGCTTTTCAAAGTTTTCGGGTGACCACTATAGATTTGGAGGGGGTGCCAAAATGACAGGAGTTGTTTAAAAGATGGAAACGTTTTCAAGGTCTGTGAAAATTGGACAAAGGAAAGCAGAGAACGTGTATGTTCATCCATTTGACGAATTAGTATAACAAACTAATTGTCTATTTTTTTCCTTCTCTCCCAGATTTGTAAGACAAGTTATTTAAGTTTCCTAAATAAATATATAAAATTTTCCAATTTACAATGATTAAAATATATAACTTTCACAGATTAGAATATATTAGAAAAGTATTCTCCTGAAACATATGCTTCTGAGACATTCAGAGAATAACCAAATGGAGCAGAAAGTATTTGAAATATATCGATCGTGAAAAATCTCTGAATATCAAGAGAAAGATATATACTCCATCCGTTCTTCAATACTTGTCTCTTATTCCATTTTGGGCTTTTCTTACATAGTTGTCTCTCTTTCCATTTTTAGAAAGTTTTTTCAATAAATATACCAATATACCCTCTTCTCTTTCCTACTTTTTCATTCTCTTTCCTACTTTTTCATTTAAACACAACCCACTACACCTTTTATATTATCCCTATTATTTTCCTCTTAAAACCCATTCCAAAGCCTAAGGGGACAAGTATTGGAGAACGGAGGGAGTATTAAACTATTAAATAACAACAGGTTTACCTGCAGCCAAGGCCCGTCATTCGCAGCTTTGCAAGGAAATCCCATTTCTTCAAGCTGCTTTCTCACAGTAAGAAGTGCCTCAAAAGACATGTTACAATACAGTAGAGAACCTCCCTCAAAAATATTGACGAAGGTATCATAATCATCTCTGCTGATTCCAGGCTGTCCATTTAAGAAAGTTTTTGTCTCTCTTCGCCCCACGATCCTACCACCCCAAGATAGAGAAGGCACATTACCTCTTCCCCAGTCACTGGGCAAAAGCACATCGTTCATCGGAGTGCATCTGCTTTGGTCCACAGGCAGCCAATATGCGTGGTTTGATTGATAACACGTATCTTCTTCTGATGGCCCTTCTGAAGAAACCACACTGTTTGCACCACTACTTATCGGCATTTTAACCATAGAACATGAGGGGCTAGCACTGCTAGCTTCAGCAGTATATGCACAGGAGTTACTTGGCAAAGCCTGTCCAATGCGCACTGGTTCTTGCAACTGTTGCTCATTATGTACCTCAGTGAAGGAGTCAACAACATAGTCTGCAAGCTCAACCAGAATATTATGAGCAGTATTATGGCCTTCTTGTCCATCTTTTAAGCTTAGATTCCTCAATTCAGGTTCCATCCTTTCATCAGTACTGCCATAAGATAAGGTTTTAGTGTTAACTCGAACAGAGTCACAATGTGTAGTTGTTCCTAAATCAGAACTACAGCTTCCCTGCCCATGTTGATTCAAGTTGCAAACAGCACCCCTAGAGAGAAGACTGTATAATGCCAGTTCAAATCTATAAAGGGAAAAAAAATGTTTTGAGCTTTCTGAGTGTAATTAAAAGGGAAAAAGGGAAAGCAAGAGGAATGACACACACACACATACAAAAAAATGAATTTTTCTTCTCACCGTTTCTCCTCACATGGCACCCATAATTCATCAGATGTTAGCAAAGCTTGCAATGTTTGAGATGAGAGTTTAGGGAGGACCTGTATTCACAGGATACAGAATTAACAATTAAAATATTGAACAGAAAAAGTTTAATACATGGATCTAGTATAACGAAGTAGATATGCTCGTTAAAGTTCAGAGTTGCATGAAATGATGAAACGCAGACTTTCATGAGGACATCAGATGGTATACAGAATACTGCCATCACAGCACGTACGAACCATTCAGAATTCTTGAGAAAAAATGAAGTCTTGAACAATGTAAATACTTTTGTAAATGCTAATATGAGTAGTAAAAGATGAAAATCTAAAGCAATGCACTACGCCACTACCAAACAAGTCTATTTAAAACCATATGCCTTCAGTAATGGGTTACTACATCAATATATTGCCTCACTTAAAAATAAAAGGCAGCAACATCAGCTCAAAATAGATGTCTGGATGCACTTATAAACCTCCGAAGACAAGGTACTGCAATTACCATCTATAGGAGAGAAGGTTGTGTCAAATAATGATTGTTAAACCAATGAACAATGCCATACAAATCTTGTGATGTACCTCTTTTAACTCCATGGCACCACATTGACAAAGGTATCCCCAACAGGCATTTCTAACTTGGTCTCCATGTTTCCCATAATCTTGACTCTCTGCGAACACCTGTACCATATTTTTGAATGGTTCACTAAAAAAAATGAGATTAAAAGATGGATAGAGATTAATTGGTAAGGGTTTTAGTGCAACTGGAACCTGGTAAGTTAAGAAGTTTGATGTCCACAGCTCTGATATTATAAAGTCCGTGCATATTTCGCATAAATCCTGCATAGAAAATGAGCCCATTGTTTTGGCATGCTAATAGCTCTTCAGTACTGGTATATTGGAATAGTGTTAACTAAATTGTAACACCTTCATTTTTACTATTCATCTTTCCCTAAACTTTTGCAATGGAGACAAAGACTCACTATTTTTTGGCTTGGCAATATGATGGAATAAAGCAAAATGGCTCACGAAACTTTCTACGCTTTTTTGTTATGAAGCAGAAGTCAGTCCATGCAATATTCGACGTGATTTACAATGTGGGTCACAGTCTCTCTGTGCTTTAGTACGGGGTAAGGCTGGGTACATCTGACCCCCCCCTACCCCACCATAGGTGGAATGTGGAAGCTTTTGCGGAACTGGGGTAAAGATAATAATGATGATGATTGTTCCCTAAACTTTTCAACCTAGAAAAAACTGTCCTCAATGTTCCTAAAACATAGCCACGTTTTCTAAGTATAACCAACATGTTTTATTCTAACAAATGCATGTTTGCCTGTTTGGTCATAAATAAGGTCATAATAAAGAAAGATCATTCTAGAGGTCATATTAACAGATACTCTATGTTTTAGTAATTTCTAAGCATGACTCACTGGTTCGCTGAGAGCACAAGATATGACAAATGAAATCAAACCAAAAACTAAACGTTAACTGAAAATGATGAGCATAAAGGTTCTGGTTGCAGATAAACTTTTGAAGAACAATATCCTTAATGATGCTTGCAGTCGACCTAGTGACTACTGGAGTAGTGAACTATGGCCACTTTTAAGTACATGTGAATTTAACCAGGGGAACTTTTAATTGGTACTGGAAGGGAGGCAGATTGTGAAAATCTTTATTAGATAACGAAAAATGTAAATTCCAGCAAAAGAAATACCCTAGAATTCAGTTGGAAGTGAATTTATTAAACTTTGATATGCAGAACCCCTTACTCACGCTACTTTTACCAACATGCCATAATTTCTTCTCAGCTAATAAAGGCTATTTTTAGGCATGCAGCTATTAGACCATTTTATCAATCTCGTAGTTAATTAGTGAGGTAGTGAAAATGGAAACGATAGGGAGAATATTGTTTTTGTGGTTTGAATTGCATGCCTGAAGATCAAGAAAGGATGCCATGGCTAGGACTCGAAATGCATTATCATCGTTAAGCTTTGGGTGGTGTCCATAAAGATAAGCCAGAGCCAGCGCTATAGCCTCCCCATTGACATTACTATCATCTACATGCAAGCTCAAAACCGGAGCATTTGCTTCTTTCCAAGGTCCCTGCAACATGTTCCTAGATACCAAATCAACACACGTAAAAGTAAAATAAGCACGAAAGATTGAATTAAACATTTAAAAATAGATACAACACAATAGGCGGGCCGCAGGCATATGAGTATATCATAAATACGGTGATACCAACTAAAAAAGAGAACATTTCTTTTTTAAACTAAGTCTCATGGATTAAGCAAAAAGAAATGTCAAAGCAAAATGCCTCTGGACAGTTAAATATACTTCGGGTGTAGTAAGGATGGGATTGAAATGAGAGACGGTTTATTGCCTGAAGTAAGAGCTCCGGGAGAGTATGAGACGGTGGAGGTGGTAGTTGGAACCCATGGCTTGAACGACAATGTCGGAGAAGGTTCCACTGTTGAATCCCTCCAATTGGATGTGATCGCAGAGGGAAGTAAGGTTGCAATCCAGTGCGCGAAGCTCACGGCTGCTCCGGTCGTTATCGGACATTTGCAGCTGAGATTGCGGCAGTGAAGGTGGTTGCCGCGTCGCAGCCATTTCCAACGGGCTCGGACCCCCTCTTCCACCACCGTACGCCCGGTGATGCTGCTGCTGCCTACTTGGGTAGGATTTTGATTCCATTCTTCGAGGATGAGCAGTAATTGCCGACTACATATACTCCAATCTAGACGTGCTGAGGGTGGATCAACACCATATCTCCATGCCTTTGAAGATATTATTGGAATTTTAATCAAAATCACAAAATGTGAAACACGGGAGTACGACACACGGAGACGGAGACGGAGACAGAATGAGAAATTACTAGTTTTATTTGATTTTAAATGATTTATTTAAAATTAGGATGCTTTTATTTATTTAATTTTATGGTCTTGTCCAGTTGTCCAGTCTAAATTGATTTGTTTTGTTCTCATAAATGTTTAGTTGATGTGTATTTTATGATTGGTAAAGTTTGGTCTGATTTGGTCTGGTATAATATGATTCAGTCTCAAACTAAAATCAAACCAAGAAGACATTCGAGGATGGATTTAATTTTTTGAGACGGTGTTACACCTAGTGGCGCCCTTGGGTGGCGATCTTTGTGTGGCTTCTCAAGGTCAGTGTAGGATCGGCGAACATGACGGTTTCCATGGGGCGATTCGGCGTTGTGTCTAGGCTACCAGATTATTTCTTTCTTTTTCATTTTTTATTTTGATTCGATTGCGTTCTTGCTTCGGGCTTGTGTCCCGCATTTTTATTCCGGATTTCACCTGGGTGATCTGGCTGAGGCTTTTGTTGTTGCTTATACGCTTCTGCCTAACGTCTGAGGTAGTAATCATTTCGCTGGTTGTCGTGGATCGTAGTTCGGGTGTTGATTTTTCATTTTCAAAAGATTGAGGGTGTGTCAAGTTTGGGTCGGCTCCTTGTGTCTTGGTCTTGTTTCTTGTTGTTTTGTGTTTTATTTATCATGGAGATGATAGCGAAGAACTGCAATATGATATTTATTGTTGAGGGAGGGAATAAGGGCTTGGTGCTAGCAGTTGATCCGACAAGGAGTGCTGATGTGGCTAATGAAAGAGCTTATCCATCGACTGTGCCAGTGTGGCTTCGGACAAACTCATTCGTGCTATTTCTTTCAGCCAAACAATGGTCATGGTTTGACGACCTGTTAGGGGAGTTTCAATTGATGACATAGGTGATTCTTAATTCTTATTTCAATTTTACCATGAAGGAGATCTGAGCAGAGTCATTAACGAAGAACCTTGGTCCTTCAAACAAAATCTTGTGGTTATTAAGCATGTGGAGCGTAGTGACAGACCTCTTGAAATTTCCCTGGACCATGTGGATTTTTGGGTTCAGGTGCACAACTTACCGTTAGGTTACATGACGAAAGGGCGGCCCCGTAGGATAGCCAATAGCATTGGATCATTTGTGCAAGTGGATGAATGCTCTCTTGGCGGAAAGAAAAGGTCGGTGTTGTGTATTAGAGTCTCTATCAATATTACTATGGCTCTGGCTAGGCGCTTGCATGTCCGACTGGAGGGGCACAACTGGATATAGACAAACTTTCGTTACGAGTAACTTCTAAATTTATGCTTAGCTTCCTGTGTGGGATCCTCGGTCATGCAGACTGTTTTTGTCATTCTAATCCACACAATGGCTCATGTATTGGTGAGAAGCCTTACAGGTCATGGTTACAGGGCTGATATGAGGCAGGGTGGCTCGCACCGGGGCAATACATGGCTGATTCCCAACAACAACAGACCATGGGACAGGTTGGATGATGGAGTGGTCTCGGGTAGAGCGACAAGTGAGCAGGAAAGCTATGTGGTGGAAGGTCTTTTGTCAAAAGGTAAGGAAGTGGCTACTACCCAGGAAGAACCAAGGAAGTGCAGAGTCATTGAGTCGGTTAGTGAGGAAGAGGTTCAAGCAAGTAATGGATGTGGATGAGGCAAATCCAAGAAACTTGCAAGTGGCGGTGCTGTCTGGGAAGCACCACCAGTAGTCAGGGACTCTAGTGCTATGCAGGAGGAACCTTTGGTGGGAGCTGGTCAAACTGTTGTCTCCTTGCCAGTGGCTAGAAAAATCGGATTATGTTCATTTTATGTTTCCCTTTTGTCTCATGACTCTTTTGCTTTTTTGTTTTCTCTTTTAGTAGGAGGTGCACAATTGCTGTTAATGGAATCTACCAAATTGCGGGGTTAGTGAGTTGGGCCGCTGTTAAGAGTGACTCCAGATCTGAGACTCATCCTAGTGTAGTCTTTGATATGACGAATTTGTATCTGGTTCTCGGTTTTAATAATAATTAAGTTATCTTTTGCCAAAAAAATATTTGAGGATGAGGAATTGAGGGGGTGTTTGGAACTGATTCTGCTTCTGCTTCTTTTTTAAAGCAGAAGCAGAATCAGAATCAGTTTTCAGAAGCCGGTACCCCCAGCTTCTAAAAAACTGATTCGGGGAGTAAATTAGAGCACCAGAAGTGCTTCTGGAATTTCACCCAAACATTCCAGTTTCTGTTTGTGTTCCTTAAAGAAGCAGAATCAATTTTGAGAATCAGATCCAAACACCCCTGGGTATAGCAAAGAACAGCAAGCGAAAGAGTTACGAATTTGAAATAGATATCAAAATATCATTTTTAGAAATTGTGACGATATAAAAAAAGTCATTAAACTTTCAAATTTAAAAACCACCCATCTAGGACCATGAATTTTAGAAAAATGGGCAAATTCATACTTTAGTAGGTTAATTCCTTTTCACTTTTTTCCTTTTATCCTTCTTCTTTCTACTATGTGTCCTTCTCCCTCTGCTTTTTTCTGCGTAGTTCTCCATTTTCTTTCACCGAATGCTCAACGATGGATAGAGAGTTGCTCACGCTCAGACAAGCCCTTTAAATTCTCCACCATATGGGCCTTCACCGGCAACTTACCTCTGGCTTCAAGAAGTCTCTCTGCGCAGGTGTTCTAGTTTTGTCAGAGCAACACGCAACCACGTCTGTGTGTCCTCCAACAATCTCTAGTCTCTGAAGGTGGTGAACGACCAGGAGAGAATGTCCACTGACTCTCCAAAGAGGTCGAGGCAATCACCGTATACCAACAGTTTTAGGACACTTGTTGGAATGTTACCAACTTGGGCACCAAGGTCAATGTCAACCCGAGCTTCTGCATGGTCAAGTTGACCAAAACACGACTTATGTTAGTGTTGTTCAGATTTAGGTAACTTGTCTTATTGCAAGTATTGGCAGGTGCTTGAGTAGCTCTTACCTTAATCATGATCTCATCCAATGATTTCCCTCTCCTACCCGAGCCGCACCCCAGCAGCAAAGGCTATTAAAAACGGGTGGGTGGGGAAGAAGACAAGAAATAAGGGAAAAGAAAGAACATGTTGATTTAGGAGGGTGGGTTATGGGTGGAAGAGGAAAGAAGGGGTGGAAGAAATGAAGAAATGGGAGAATTGAAATGGGGAAGAAGAAGAAGAAGGAAGAAGGATGATAATAGGTGAAAAAGAAAGAAAAAATGAAATGAAAAATTATAAAATAAGCCACATAAAGCAAGTGACTAGTTAACCCGAAATAACCCTACACTAGATTATAAATTCAACCGTTTTTCTAAAGTTCATGGTCTTAATGGAGTGTTTTTAAGTTCTGAGACCTTAATTAATTTTTGGATATACTACAAGAGCCTATTTGGCAATTTTTGCTTTTTACATATTGTGTTTTGAAATTCGTTTTTTATATTTAAGGAGAATCGTGTGCTACTTTTTGGATGCAATTCTTTTATAAAGGAAATAACTTATATTAAAATCAAACGAACCAAAGCAACAAACATGTCCCAACATCTACATCTCTCTCTCCAAAACAATACCAAAAGTCCATCGGCCCCTCACGTCATGAGCAGACACAGAATACTCCACCCTGGATAGAGCGAAACTAATCGCTGAAACGGTGAGAGCAAATAGGCTATTAGCGGCTGAGTCAGTCTAATGAAATAAACCAAACAACAACCCTACCCCCTTAGTGTTCAAAATAGCGATAACAACATAATTCATAATTAAACAAATCAAAAAGTGTAAAACGGAATTAAATAAAATAATTTGATGGAGCAACTGAATCCGTACTTCAAATGTCCTCCTCCATGGCAGCGATTCAGGAGGGGGATAGGTCATCAACCCCTCATCTTCTTCTTCCAACACCTAAATCTTGAATTCTCCATGCCACATCAAGCAAAGTCTTCCGCTCAATCACTTAATCTAATTAGCTCGTAAAAAACCACTGCCATAAGAACTGAATTTTGCTGGTCCTGGACCTTCCACCTTCCTTATGATTGACATAGTCATTCGTTGTCTCCTTCTCCTGCTTCATCTTCCTAAGCAACCGAAACCTACCACTGTGGAGATTCACCACTGCCAAGCTACCCGACACTTCGTAAAAGACCTTGTTTAGCCTTCTTGCGGCGTTCGTCTCTTCGCTGGTTGTCCGTCGCTTCCTTCGTCTCGCCTAAAACCTTGATGCGTGCCTTGCCGATCTCGCCTTGCCGAAGCCAAAGCTACTTCGTAAGCTTGGGAACCCTAGATATGACCTCTCCGCTGGTTTTTAATTGATGTGGATTTTTTAGAACCCAATAAAATGAAAAGCTGGATCGTTTAGTATCGGTTCAATTTCATAATGGTTCTTGAATGTTTTTGTAGGAATCGAATTGATTGCATTAATAAAAAAATCATGACGGTTACACTGTTTTTTATATTAGCTCTACCCCTCCAGACCATTCACAATTTTTAATTGAAGGCGTGTAGTTTTGAAAATGGGGCAAAAATTATAAACACGCTCAAAGTACGTTGTGCAAAATCTTTTTATTCTCTTATTGCAGTGGGGGCATATTTGAATAATTTGATACACACTAAATCTAATGGCGTCAATGTGATTTGTGATCTCTTAGTTATGATTTTGTCCTTAAATATTCACCATGTCTCTTATAATACTGACAGCTTTGATCGACATACGGAAATTAAAACAAAAGAAAAATCCCAAAATAAAATTAAAAACAATTTGAGACTCAAAATATAAATATTATGTAGTGTGTTCCTAAAACAAGAGTAAATTCATATCATGTTGAACTCATATCATCATGTCCTTGCATTATCAAGCATTTATATGACAATATTTTCCAAGTATAATATTAATCACTCATATTTACTCGAAAAAACTTACTTTTTTTTTTTAAATTTCACATTATTTGTAGGGAAAATATCATAGATCCCTCTAATGATGTTTGATGTTTTGTCACTTACA